AATTGGTTATTTTATTTATTTATATTTCAAATGTCTTCCTTGTCTCCCTTCCACAAACACCCCATCTCATCCCCCCTTCCCCTTTGCCTCTAAGAGGGCACTCCCACATCCACCTACCTACTCCAGCCTCAGCCCTCTAGCATCCCCCTATACTGGGGCAACAAGCCTCCACAGGACCAAAGCCTCTCCTCCTACTGATGGCAGCCAGATAAAGCAGTCCTCTGCTACATATATAAGTGGAGCCATGTGTTCATCATCCACGTGGACCCTTTGTTGGTTGTTTAGTCCCTGGGAGCTCTGGTAATCTTTGTTTTAGGAAAAATTATGAAAACTCCTTTCTAATACAAACTTTAAAAATATATGATTGGAAAATTGTAAAACCTAGCTGAGAATCTTAAGGGTGTGTTAGATGATATTAAATTCCAATATTACTGGACTTTAAAATCGGTCTTTTTTTTTTTTTTTTTGGTAAGAGGTCTTTTTGATCTTATTGTAGTAAGTCATCTACCTTGAAGGTAATAGAGTGTGCCTTCAGTTTAATGTGGCCCTTAGAATAACTCTGGACTCCAGCATGAGCTGATAACATTACAGTCAGCCTTACACACACCCTCTCTATGTTTCATCTTTGTGATAGAAATGTTGAAGAATATGTCAGAGCACTATGACCGGGAATAGTTGCTCAATGGTAATTTTAAACATTTACTATAAGCTTAATGTGATTTAGTGCTTTTCAAAAATGTTTTGTGTTTTTAGGAAGATTCCCTCAGGGAATCCCTCCAGAATCCTCAGAATCCTTATGCTTTTATCTTCAAGACATCAATATCCAAGAGTTATTTACTAAAACTCAAGTTTCCATGAAAAGGCTAATTACTTGGTTCAGGTGATGGGAGAAATCCCTCTAGGATATGCATAAGAGAAGTTCAGAAACAGATGAATGCCAAAGAAAAAGTTGAAGTGTTTCAGAATTCTTGATGACTTACCAACACTAAACTTCTCAAAGAAGTTGGACTGCCATAATTTGCCTTTATTTTAGTAATGATTAAGTAAAATATTTAAAGTATCCCAACACACCTTTTTAAAAAGATAAAATATGTATAAATTGTATGTGTCCTAACATCAGAAATCCAATGAGAAGGGGGAAAAGTAGAACAAGTGTGAAGTTTTAGGAAGACTAGTCTAACTTTAGGAGTATTCTAACCCAAGGAGGTAAATGTCAACACCAGAAAGTCCTAGATTGAAAGAATATGAGTTTTCCGGCAGACCCCAGAAGACTCTCATAATAGACAACAGTCACCAAGCAGCTGACCATGTCAAGCTCATCTTATTTCTGATAAGATACTCCCAGAGCAGATAGCTCTGTGAACACATTTTATTTCTGACTGGATAGCCCTGTGCTCACTGTAAGAAAGAAAGGGAGGTGGAACAGTATTCCCAGAGTACTGTCTGACTCACCCTAACACCTAAAACTGGACTGAGGGTTACAAGGATTGATGAAATGTCATTGAGAAAGGCAAATGTACTTCCTCTCTGGAGGGAAATTACAGACCTAGTCTCACAATAATTTTCCAACTTTGCAACGGAACAGCACACAATTAGAAAAATAAAACCCCAAACCAGGCATACAAGAGGATAAGTAGTTTGAGCAACAACAGCAATAGTAACAACCACCACAACAACCAAAAACAGCCCACAACACTGAAGTGAAACCACTACTCTGTCAGAACTATAGGAAAGGCATAAAGGACCACATGACCACTTAGTCAACTAGATGTGATAGACTCTTAAAAAAATACAAGAATCGGGGGAGGCAGTGGAGGGGAAACCTAGCCAGGCATGTGCACTTTAGCTTCTGCACTTGGGAGGTAGAGGCAGATGGATCTCTGTTAGTTCCAAGTCAGAGTAAGCTATACTGTGAGCTCCAGGCCATCCAGGCAGGTTGTAATAATTAAAGATATAAAGAACAAGGATTTGAGTTTGTAAGAAAGGGAACTTGGGGAGGATTGGAGGGAGGAAAGAGAAGTAGGAACTGGTATAACCATACTGGAATTTGGGAGAAAAAGATTCCATTTTAAAAGTCAGCCTTGATATTTTAGGGGAAAAAGGTGGGGAAGAGGTATCAGGTATCCTGAAGAGTAAATATAGATAAGTCTTTCCTTCCCTCCCTCCCTCCCTCCCTCCCTCCCTCCCTCCTTCCTTCCCTTCCTCCCTTGCTCCCTTCCTCTCTCCTCCAATTCCTCTGTCCCTCCCATCTCTATGTGAATGTGAACATGAATCATATTCTATGGTTCTATTTTTTATATGAACCATATTATATGGGTGGAGGAGGGACTGACTCAGTAATTTTATCATTTGTTTGATGTGTTCCACTATGGGAAACTTGATGCTACCTCAACGGTGCCACCATGCTGGTCAAGAGAGCTTATGATTCTTAGGTATAGGATAATTACCACCGGAGAATATTCCAGGAGAAACCCTCCCTGACAGTGGTAGGCAGCAGTATGGAAATCACTCAAGAGAGAAGTGAATTTTTAAAACTAGGATAATTCATAACTGAAAATATTAACTAATAAATATGCCAGTACAAACCTTGATGTATCCATTTGGACATATTCCACATCCCAAGCGGCTAGTCTAATACCAATTAAAGCATCACAGATTCCTATTATCTTCCTGCATTATTATTTTCATGAATTAATTTTGTCTTAAAAATCAGACCTTTTTTCCAAATGAGAATACATTTAAATATCTGAGGTACAAAAGTGAAGCTGAATGTCAGGACCCATAGATATCTATAATTTCAAATTCTAAAAATACAGAACCATGGGAATAATGCTAGAAAAATTAATAGCTGAGAAAGTGGCCTATGGGGTCACCTGATCATGCCTCTAGGTGTTTATAAAGAACCCAAATAGTAATTCTATTTTGTTATGAAGCTGTTTGTGCTTATCACTTGTGTGTGTGTGTGTGTGTGTATTCATTCATTCATTAGTTTTTTCATTCAATCCTCCATATACATATCCACCCACTGTTTTAATCTTTTATTTGATAAATATCAGAGATCATATAAGTGCCAGGAAGACTGCTTAGTCATGAAGAAAGAAGTATATATTAATATTCTTGCTTTATCATAGATCATAGTTCATAAGTCATCTTAATGTAATGAATTATGCCTTAAGTGTAGTTATGTTTCTGAATATATGGATCATAAAGCTATCCCCGATCCTTTGGGCTTTAAATCCAGCACAGTACTAAATGTGCACAGAGACCAGAAGCCGTGGATGGGGACAAGAGCCTAGCCAAGCATTAAATGTGTGTCTGTGGAGCCTTTGTGAAGAAGGCCAGATGAAACTGGTGGGTTGGTTTCCTGGAGGATTTTAGGTTTCATAGACTCAGGTTTCTTTCTGTAGTATGACACCATTGTAGATGTCAGGCGATGGTGGCAAAGAAGAAGAGGATACAGAAAGGGCAAGACTGGTGAGAGAGTGATCCCCTTTATACAAACTAGATGGAGCACAGCCTTTGCTTCCACAAGGGATGGTGGGAAAGGGACTGGGAACAGATTCAGAGGATGGGTAGAAGCAGAAAGGGAGAAAATGTATGGACAACAGTTAGCTGATTAATGGAGGATTAAAGACGATTTCATATAAAACCATGGCTTTGAACGATGTAAGGCACACGGAGCACTGGGAGGACATGAACAGTGCATATCCCCTGCTTGTGGCTAGGTGAAACTCTCCCACATTGCCTCGAGTTTCATTCTTTGCCACCTGTCACTGACATCTACCCATTGTCTGATAACCTTGGACCTGGTATGCCTGGATACAGTCACATATTCTTGATGGGTGATCAGTACATACAAGTTCTGCCCTACACTACACATTGCCTTAATATTACCTTTTCTAGTTTGATAAGGAGAGGCCTAAGTTAGCAGTAATAGTGAAAGAAATGCTTTTCATGTTCAATAACTCTAAGCCATTCTTAAATTGTAAACTCTCTTTAATCTCTATTATGTCTTTTTTTCCCCCACAATGAGTTTTAACTCCTCTTGTTAAATTTAAGGAGTTTAACTCCTCTTCAGATTCATGAAGGCAATGTTAACATTTGATTCATTCTATTACAACCCCTCTGGTTTCTGATGCCAGTGACTAGCTTTGTCTTTATATTGTTTATTATGAATAACATTACAATGTATATTTTCTCCAATTATTATGCAAATTGTACATATATAATATTTTAACACACATATGCATTTAGTATATATAATCATATATATAAAATCATCTTTGAGGAAGAATGCATAAACTATCATAATTACTGCTGAAAATGTCATCGGTATTGTGCAGACCATTAATGGGTGTCATAGGATTTATAGCAAGGTAAGAACTATGGAGCTGGCTTGAAAGGCACGTGCCCATGCCTACAGAAACTTAAACGTTGGTTAGAGGGCTTGATCTGTTTTACCTGCCCTGACGTGTGAATGATTTGAGTTTATGTATCAGGAAGCTCTAAATTACTGCAGTTCATGGATGTTCAGATGAGCCCATGCATGGTTATGACTGCAAATAGAAAATCTTAGGATTGCAACTGAGTGTTACCACATAATGTTTCTATGATTCTTCGACACTTTAATGTTAAAGTCCTTACCTGTTGAGTTCTTTGTTCCTTCTCAGTTAAATTCAACATAACTTTCTTTCTTTGGTTTGTGTAGACAGTCTCTCAAGCTATTCACAAGAAAAATTTACAGTCCCTATTGAAATTGCTTGTAAAAGCTGTTTAAGTTAGCCCACTTATTGTGTGTGTTGCTCTGAAACTCTCCCCACTAAGCATTTATAATCCCCTAAGAGCAATAGAGAAGTGCTCCCACTGTGAGCTTTGTTAGAAGTAAAGGGCATTATTGTCTTGTTGTCCCTTTATGCTTGTTAAAATGTTCCCTTTCTTTCCGGCTTTTAATCCTGTGATCTGTTGAACAGTGGAGTACCTGACATGTGTTTGTTCCTTAGGCAAACGTGTAAAACTCTTCACATTGGAATGGAGAAATAGAAAGAGAAGGTTTCTGCTGTGCCTGATGACAATTTTTGATTTTCCACATTCAAAATTATTCTGGCTCCACGCTTGGAGCAGTAGTTATGGCGAATCCTAGTGTTGGTCGGATTCTGAGGAAGGGGCAGAAGTTTCCTTGAGAAGTAAAGATTCCAAACAACTCCAGAAATGAGCGTCTGTCTCCTTTCATTTCTCACAGAGCAGCAGGTGTGTACCCCATGTTAACAGGGTGAACTGTGACCTCGCGGTTCTTGTGGTTACGGTAGCTTTCTAGGTGTTTGATTTCAAACAGAGATAACAAAATTGGTACAGTTTTAGAGACCAGAGAGCAAAGAACTGACTCTATGGTTAATAAAGGAGCCAATGATGTTTTTAAGTTAAAAAAATACTGAGAAGAAGCATTGTTTCTCGAACTGACTCACAAAGCCTCCATGTTGGATGTCGTACAAAGCCCCCATGGTGAAGGAGCTAATATACTGCCATTGGTGAACCTTATGCTGTCACCATCAGGAGCTCTGCAGTACCACTGTCCTTAGAATAGGAAACAAAGTATGATACCCTTGTTTGTTCCTGAACATCTGTCAGCATTCAACCTGCTTGTTGTTTATAAATTTGCATGTAGAGCCCTGAGCCAATGCACTTTCTCTTAATCTCCATGAACCAATCCAGATACATTCCTTATCTAATCTATTCTTATGTATTGGGAATTTACCCACGTTTAAAGCTGTGCATTGCCCCATCTCCTCTCTCTCTCTCTCTCTCTCTCTCTCTCTCTCTCTCTCTCTCTCTC